CTCTGCTCCTTTTTTCTTACTTGTATTTGCTATAAATTGTTTATCTTTGCAATTCTGTTGTTTTCAGGGGGAGAAAAGGGAAGGTTTAACAGCTCCTCATATTTGCCTCTTATTTCCTTGGATTTTTAACCTCCCAGATCTTGCTGTTTGTGGTTCTCTCTCCCTTCCTGCAGACTGAAAGCAGTTCAGTTCTTTTTTTACTCCCTTTACTTGTGCCAAACCTTTATCTGCGGCCTCCAGCAATGCAATATCTCCATCTTGCCCAACATCACCACTTTATTAGCTTATTTCAAAATAGTTTATTTCAAAATAGTTCATTTCCAAAGAGCAGCAAGGGATTTTCCACCCCGCTCTCCTTGAAAAATCAGTGTTTTTCCCAAGGTATTTCATTTGCTTCATTTTGTCCTTTGAAACAAAGACTCCTTAGGCTTGTAAGTCCAGATTGATTTCGGTGTTGGTGGGATTTGCTGTCAAACAAGTGAAATTCCTGCTGTTACGGATGATTTGTTCTCAAATTAAATTAAATCAAATCCTGCTGCGTTAGTAGCATTTATGATAGCTCTTTTAAATACCGTTTTTCTAACCCCTTTCTTTTGCATCCTTTCCCTTTTCCAGCTGTCCATTTACAGGAATCTGCTCTGCAGGAGTTGGCGCAGGAGGCACCACCTGCGAAAGAGCAGAGCGCCCAAATGGATGAAGCAGCTGTTAAATCGGGACTGGGAGGGCAAAGTGAAGAGGAGAAATCCAAGCCAGAGGAGGGAAGTGATCGTGGGGATGAGCCCAACAATCTGTCAGGAGAGCATCACCACCACTTGCACCTTTCCAGCTGCCACGAGTGCCTGCAGCTGGAAAACAGCACCATCGAATCGGTCAAATTCGCCTCTGCAGAAAACATTCCGGAGCTTCCCGATGATTCCAGCAGCAAGCTGGAGGAGGAGAGGGATGGCTGCCTGGAAAGAGGGATGAAGAGGGTGAACCTTGCTGGGAAGCCCCCGAATGTGCTGATTTACCTGGGCTCCCAGGGGGCCAAGGGGAAATTCGAGCAGGTGAGATCGATCCTTCGGGAGTGCGTCGATGCAGAGAGCTACACCATCTACCAGCTGCACCAGGAGCAAGTGCTGAGAGACCCCTGGGTCGACAACTCCCTGCTCCTGGTCATTGCCACGGAGGAGCCCATTTCTGAGGGGACCCACGAGCAGTTCATGAAGTTTTTGTCCAAAGGCGGGAAGATTCTCGGGATTTCCTCGTCCTTCACGTTCGGCGGCGTTCGGATCAAGCGGAAGAACAAGCTGAGGAGGACTGTCCACGAACTGGTGGCGTCCACAAAGGACAGCCCTGAGGTGAAGCTGGATCTGGTGGTCAGTGGCTGTGTTTTCGAGGAAGGGGGGAAGGAAGAGGCTGGCGAAGTGAAGACGTTGTGTCGATTAAATAACGCCGAGAAAGACACGGTTATTGTTCACCTGACTCACGGGGACAGCGGAGGAGAAGCCATCCTTTCCCAGGTGCTGTGGGTGTGGAGGTGTTGGTTTGCACGTTGCTGCGTGGGGAAAAGGTCACTTCTTCCCACTGTGTGATCTTGGGGGTTCCTATCAAGGAGAGAAGCGTGGAATTGTTTGGGTTGGGAGGGATTTTAAAGCTCAGCCAGTGCCACCCCCTGCCATGGGCAGGGACACCTTCCACCAGCCCAGGTTGCTCCAAGTTTATCCAACCTGGCCTTGGACTCTTCCAGGGATCCAGGGGCAGCCACAGCTTCTGTGGGCAACCTGTGCCAGGGCCTGCCCACCCCCTGAGGTGCAGAGAGATGTGCTAGTGGATGTGCAAGGACTCTGAATGCAGAATGGGTTTCCTTTGATCCTCAGCAATGCCACTTCTGGTCCACTTCCCCGTTGTCACCATGGAACCAGGAAAGATCAGAGGGGTGGTGGGAGAAAGAGCAAGTTTGCATGTTAAGCAGGAGTCTTACTTACCAATCCAGACCAATATCTCCAAGGTGGGTGCCAGGAAGATGGTGCCAGATTGTCCCCAGTGGTCAGGCCAAGGAGCAGAGTCCTCAAACGAAACCACAACAAGTTCCACCTCAACATGAGGAGAAACTTCTTTCCATGGAGGGTGAAGAGCACTGGAAGAGCTGCCCAGGGAGGGTGGGGAGTGTCCCTCTCTGTAGACATTCCAACCCCACCTGGACGCGTTCCTGTGTCACCTGCTGCAGGTGGCCCTGCCTGGGCAGGGGGGTTGGGCTGGGTGATCTCCAGAGGTGCTTTCCAACCCCAGCTATCCTGGGATTCTTTGATCTTCAAGAGCAGAGCTTTCCTTTTCTGCCTGCTGGAGGTTGGGCAGTGACAAGAGTTGGGAATTCTGCAGATTTTGGGAGGTGGGAACAGGGAGAGCCGAATTGTGACAGATTTGGGGGTGAGAGCTTACACTGGCAAAACAAAAAAGTCACTCTTGCTAAAATCTGAACTATGGGGAAGCAGGGAGTGTAAAATAAACCTCGCTGCAAACTACTTTTTATAATTCCCAAGTCTTTTCTTCAGGCTTTCAAGTTTTAAATGTTTAACATTCTGCCCCTATGAAATAGCTCAGAGCACCTGGGGGGAGTGAAGGAGCCAAAAATCTTCCTCATTCCACTTGAAAACAATATCCCAGCAAACAGGTGCCTCTCCAGCGTTAGGGTATTGTGGTGTCTGGTAAAAGAGAAAACCCCACAACTGAACAAAACCCTCAAAAAAATAAACAACAGAGAAGTTCAAGTGTTCATAATATTTTTATTTTTTTTTTTTTTAATATTATTCTCTGTGGATAATGGGTGTGTTAAAGGTAAATGTTGGTCTCTGATTATTTAAATATTCAGAGCTATAAGTTTTGAGTGTTGGAAAGGCTGATAAAAAGTTTAGAAAATAAGTGTATGCCCTGGAAGTACGAATCTGCCAAGCACACTGAGAAAAGCAGAGCAACATTTATTTACCAGTGTTCAAGTAAATTAAATTAAGTAATGTAATAGAGACTCAGCTTTATGAAAGGTTGTATTTTAACCAATATTTTAGGTCGAGAAGAACTTTCTCAGGAGCCCAGAGCACTCAAATTTCACTGCTCAGGGATCAGGTGTCAATACTTTTCCAGCCGTTACGTAGTTCAGAAACATTCCTGGGGTTTCTCAGAAGTGTTTCCATCTCTTATCAGTTTATCAGGTCAAATCTGCTGGTTTTTTGGAAACTGTTAGACGGAGCAGCATGTTTAGAGCTTTCTTTTTTTCGGTGGGCAGCTTTGCCGCCCCGTGTGCTGGATGCTTGGACCGGAAAATCGATTAGAAACTTTCTGCAAGATCCCTGGAAAAAACTGCTCTGCTGCAGCCCTTAAACTGACCCTTCTGCTGGAGGAAAACTTAACACTGCAGAGGTTTCTCCCCTTTTACATCCCCCAGAAAAAGAGCTTTTTACAGCACAGCTTCAAAAAAAAAAAAAAATCAGATTAAAAGGATTAGTGTGTCATTTTATAATTCCAAACGACTTCCAGTGTGGGTTTGAAAAGCCCTATTGTTTTCACTTCAGGGGCTGGGCGGTGACATCAGCTGTTAAATATTCTGCCACAGAAATGCTTGCCTTGTTTTGGTGCTCTTCTGGGGGGGGGGTGTGTCCTGCCCCCATTGACGCTTTTTATAGCCATGGAGTGGTTTGGGTGGGAAGGGACCTCAAAGATCACCCAGTTCTCACCCCCTGCCACGGGCAGGGACACCTTCCACCAGCACAGGTTGCTCCAAGCCCCGTCCAACCTGGCCTTGGACACTTCCAGGGATCCAGGAACATCCACTGTCCTTCATTTCCCTGAATTTCAGTGAAGCAGATCATAGATAAAACACAAAGGGCATCATTAAATTGAAGAAATGAACAAAAGAATAGCTTGTGGTTTTCATTAAATGAATCTGCGTGTGGTAGATTACAAGGCCTTCTAAATATCTTGGAACAATTGTTTATAAACCAAACCAACCAACCAAAATAAAACCTCACAAAAACCATCAAACACAGAAAGAAAACCAGAAAAAAAAGGGAGGTCTATGAAGGATTTCTTTTTTTCCTGTTGTATTTCATTTCTGCTGCAGCCCTGAGTGATTTCTCTGCCAGGTGAGAAAGTAATTTTTTCAGACAGAAGCATTTCTTGATCTGCACTGATTTCAACTTAATTCACGTGACACAGTAAGGCCTTCTTTGAGTTCTTCAGATCTCCAGCCTCTGGTAAAGCTCTTTCAGTTTTAATACAATTCTTCTCTGGTACACAAGGCAAAATACGCCCCATCTTGCTGTTGGTTCTGGCAGACATGAGGAGGAGAGGGATAAACTGAATTAGTAAATACAAGTTTGAACATCTCCTCCGGGAAATGTTTACTTTAGAGGGGGATATTTTGGGTTTCACAGGATATTGTGAGTGGATTGACAGCTGAACACTGATTTTTTTTTTTTTTGCCCATATCCTGCCAGGCCCACTTGGAGCTGGACAGCAATTCCATGGATGTGCAAACCGAGGAGGATTTTAACCTGCTGAAGATGAGCAACAGCAAGAGATACCAAGTCCTCAAGGAGATCCTGGTGTCGCTTGGCCTGAGCTGTGAATCAAGGGAACTCCCTGCCTTAACACCTCTTTACCTGCTCTCTCCTGATGAGGTAAGTTTTTACCCTGCAAGGCAAATTCAGTGCCCTCCTAAATCCTCCTAAATCGAGGTGTTTTTGCTCTTGAGAGGTTTGTGCAGGTGCTGCAGGTAAGCAAAAAATTCAATTTCTGCTCTGTTGTGTTACCTGTTGGTTGTAATTCTGAATTCCACCGCGGGGGAATTAATTTTTCAGCTCTATTTTCTGTTTGGTCCTTGGAGTTTTCAAACATGCCACGAGTTAAAATTTGACTAAATTGCTATCCAAACTTGCCATCTAGTGGCATATCCCAGGGTTGCAGGCCACCTAATAAAGATATTTTAACTGCACGCTCTGTAGTTCAAGTTTATACCAAAATAAGGTGGTTTTTTAAAAATTTTATTCACATTTTTCAATGTGAAAATGTGATATTTATTGAGTTTTTTCCCACATTTTTGATGGTAACTTTGATTAAAATAAATAAGGGGTGTGCAATAGTTTAATTTTCTCAAAAATTAGATATTTTTCCCCATACATCACGTTCTCCCTAGAGAGCCAGGAGATACCAGAAAGGTATCTGAGAGGAGAATAAATTGTGGAAATACTTAATTTTTTTTTTAAGAACAGAGCGAGTCAGCAGTACTGGAAATACAATTTTGTATGGAAAGCTTGTCCAGTACAGCTCACTGGTTTGGATATTACATAAATTTTATAAATTATACTGTCTATTATATTATATTGTCTCTAAGACTTGTCAGTTCATTAATGATTCCTCACTCCCAAACTGGAGTTTCCACCTGCACCGTTATGTTTAAAAACTGCTGTTGGACCTCACCTTGTCAGATTTTTCTAATTAATTTTAGACACTACGAGCTCTTTTTTTTTTTGCATATGTGGAAGAAATAAAAACTGGATTTTGCTCTGATTGGTTTTTTATTCCATGAAGAAAAAATACTAATTATAATTACTATACTAATACTAATCACTTCAGAATTTCCATCAGATCTGCACCGAGAATGTCAAATAAAACTTTCCCAGCTGGATTATGTGCCCCAAAAGCTTCTCCTGGCTTTTTCCTCTGCCTAAAATTCCTTGAAAATCTGAGTCTTCTGGCATCATTGTGATTCTGTTAATGATTCTGTTATTAATCCAATCAAATCTGTGATGCTGATTGGTGTAAATTTGATTATTAAGATCTCAGTGCTACCTTTTGCAATATAATTTTTAGCTGCTTCTGAGGGGTGAACTGGAATTTTTTTTTTTTTCTTTACCTCCTTGGGATGTGCATTTTGAAGTTGTAATTTGCAGTTTCTGGGGTTATTTTGCTCGATATAGCAAAATCGGTTATTAAATTCCAGTTTATAGGGTTTAATTCCCAGTTTGTAAGTTAAAATCCCAGTCCTGCTATGTGGATTAAAAAAAACCAACCAAATATGAGCAGAATTGGTATTTATTATTATTATTGTTGTTATTATTATTATTATTATTATTATTATTATTAAAATAAAATGATCTGAATAAGAGGTGGTCATGCCCATCTTTGAGAGGTTTAGATCTTACCATGTAGAATTGTGGCACAACAACAGAGTTTGAACAGTGTTTTAGTCAATATAAAGCAATATTAAATATATAGTTATGTATTACATAGTTATATAAGAAAGGCAGGTGTATATAATATGTATCTTATATATTTGTATATATATGTAATTGTACATCTCCAAATATATAATTATGTATTATATAATTAGATATATCAGAAAGGCAGGTTGCTTGCTGGTTAAAATTTTAATTCAATCTGCACAACTTGATGTTAAATGTCATTTTAGAGGCAAATATTGATATGGAAACACAGCTCCTTTTTCTTTTTTTTTTTCCTTGCTCTGGTGTAAAGTAGTTGAGTGATTATTAATTTCCAGTTTATAGGGTTTCATTCCCAGTTTGTAGGTTAAAATCCCAGTCCTGCTGTGTGGATTAAAAAACCCCCAACCTATTATTATTATTATTATTATTATTATTATTATTATTATTATTATTATTATTATTATTATTATTATTATTATTATAAAATGATCTAAATAAGAGATGGTCATGCCCATCTTTGAGAAGTTTAGATCTCACCATGTAGAATTATGGCACGACAACAGAGTTTGAACAGTGTTTGAATCAATATAAAGCAATATATAATATACAATTATATAAATTATATAGTTATATATATATAATATAAGAAAGGCAGGTGTATATAATATGTATCTTATATATTTGTGTATGTATATTTGTACATCTCCAAATATAGCATTATACAGTATGTAATTATATATATTATATAAGAAAGGCAGGTTGCTTGCTGCTTAAAATGTTCATTAAATCTGCACAACTTGATGTTCAATGTAATTTTTGAGGCAAACATTGATATGGAAACACTGCTCCTTTTTCTTTTCTTTTTTTTTCTTGCTCTGATGTAAAGCAGTTGAGCAGATTTTAGTCCTGCCCAGTGCTGTGGGAAGGAAATTCTGTGTCGCTGTGGTGGAGTTCCAACGTTGAAACCAGAGTGGGGGATCACAAATCCTCTTGTCTGGCATCCACATGTTCAGTGGCAGCTCCAACCATAGAGATCTGATTTTTAATGCAGCTTTGCCTTTAAACACTCCAATATTTACTTCTCTCGGCCACCTTAAGGGATAATTTTTCAGACACGAACGCCAGGATTGGGTTTTTACTGCCAGAAATTTCAGCAGAACATCTTCTAGATTTCAAAACAAGGATTTACTCCCTGAAGAACAGGAGGGGGTTTGGCACAATTGTGATTATTTCCACACATTTGCCTGTCTGAAGCATCTTAGAACTTGACTGGGAGGCTCCTGAGGCTCCAAATCCGTTTTGTTTTTGGGTGACTCGGTAGCTGCAGCACAATCAGAGTTCAGTGGGACCGGATTTGTTTGTCTGGAGCTGCAGTTTGATTCTGGTTTTTAAAATTCCAAGCCCGTTATGTCAGCCAAGAGGGCCTGAAGTGACTTTATCCTGAATAAACCTTCCTTTGAGGGTGGGAAATTTGAACTCTCAGCTAACACTGCAGTGGACCCGCATTTCAGGCTGCATTTGGGCACAATTGTTCCTAAAATATTTCCCTGGGTATTGTAGAACTTGGGATTCAACTTGGAAACCTTTTAAAAATTCCCCAGGAAGGGACAGTTACAGGGAAACTCCAAAGTCGTCTTTTTAGTGCTACCTAAATATTTTGTTTACAGCTGGACCAAAAAAAGTATCATCTTAAAAAAAAAAAAAAAAAACAAAAAACAAGAGATTTGCTTGTTTTCTCTTACCATCCTCAAAGCATGAGCATCATCCCTACCTTTTTAACCAGTAGGACAAAAATGCCAGAGCCCTTTGGAATATTTATTCTAGAATGGAAATTTGCTCAGAAGAGCTGAGAAAAACACTGAATGAAAAAGGGACTGATAAATAGCTTGTGTCTAACATTTTTTTTTTCACTTTTATTAATGTATTATAGTTATTATTTGAAATCAACAGTGCCAGAAGTCTTTATCTGTACTGGAAAGCTTTTCCCAGATTGTCTCTCTTAGCTAGGAACAAAAATGCCTTTATGGCAAAGTTGCTTCATGGGGGGGAAAACAAAAATAGATAAAGCAATAAAAGTGCATTTGCACCAGTTAAAATGAGTATTTGCTGAAGCACCTTATTGGTTTTTGGAGGTCGATTTAATGTGTGAATAATTTTTTGGGGTTAAAAACTGTGTTTCTCCCAAGCTGGTTGGGCATGTGGGAAGCCGCTGTCACAGGTAGGGTGGGTTTGCCTTGGCTTGGTTTGTGTTCTTCTCCCCCCCATCCTCAAAAGGACTTTTTTGTTTCTTTGTGACAAAAATGTTGCGAACCCAGAAGAGTCCCCGAAATCAGAAATCATAAAACTAAACTGAGTTAAGGGTTGCCATTCGTGGAAAAGCTCTTTGTGTCAAAGTCTGGATTCTAATAATTCTAATAATTCTAATAATAGTCCCTGCTGTTTGCTGGTGTTCTTTGTGGTTCTGAAAGGAATTGTTCTCAGAGGGGATGGTTTTTGACACTCTGTAGCTCCTTTTTTTTCCTCTTTTTGCCCTTAAGATAATGAAATTACCTGGGAATTGTCTCCTAATTTAACAGTTTGCAGCTCTCTCGGCCAGGTTCTTGTGTCTCAGTGATATTTCCTCTTGTACCTCAGTGAACAAGTTTGTGACATTTCTCACACAGTCACAAACTGACAGAGGTGGGATAAGAGCTGAATATATTAGCTCATCTTCCTTCTTTCCCCTCAGTCTTCTTATACTCCACACACCTTTGTTAGTGTAATTTTCTGATAGAACTGCTGGTTCTTCAGTAAAATCTGTAAACTTTGGGGTTCCAACAACTTGGTAGAGGTAAAAGCTTAAAAGAAGCTGAGTTTGTACAGCGAGTTTTGTAACGTAGAGTCCAGGGCAGGATGATTTTCCCGGGTAGTTCTGTGCCCAGGCAGCCTGTCAGGGGATTCCCTGGCAATAAAGAATCAGAATCACAGGATCATGGAATCATCAAGGTTGGAAGAGACCTTCGAGGTGATCCAGTGCCACCCTCACCCAGCACCACCAGGATCCCCCCTAATCCGTGTCCCCAAGGGCCACATCCAGACCCCTCTGGGACACTCCCACACACAGGGACTCCACCACCTCCCTGGGACACTCATTGCAAGGCCTGACCACTCCTGCAGGGACAAATTGTTTCTGCTCTCTGCTCTGAACCTGCCCTGGGGCACTTTGAGGCCATTTCCTCTCCTCCTTTCCCTTG